GCTATCGGTAGATCGTCATGCGTAAGCTCATATCATTTCTCTTGGCCTATGTTAGGAAGATCATGATCACCAGATGATTGCTTGCTTCGTGTCGATGGCCACCCACCTCCATTAGCCGACAGAAAACTCCATCGCAAATGACTACTTTAATCTCAGTGGATATCTTGTTTCTTAATAGCAAGAACTATTCTTAGCATGCTCGACGATGATCGATTTGTCGTCGTCTCCGCACTAACAAGTAATGAAGTAGCGGTTTTATTCTTATCTATCTACTCGCCAAGAAGGTCGTCTTTAGAGATCAACCCTTTTTACTGGGTAGAGTGCATAGCCTCATGAGCACAAGAAGAACACAGACCACGCAGGCACAGACAAGCATGCAAGAAGAATTAAATGAGTTATTCATGGCCGTTGGTGCAGGAGTTTATTACCAGTGTACTGTGGGTGGTTACGGGTCGATGGCCACGCTTCACCGACAGCTCCTCTGCCACCTTCTGTGCCTCCCTTGCACGTTCTTCTCCAATTTATAATCTCGCCCTCCCACTCCGCCCCCGTCAAGTTAACCATGACAGTAGCTGCTCCCTCTCTATCTATTTCCGGTTCAAAGCCGGCAGCTTTTGTACTTTGTCGTCAGTGAAAGCAGGCTCATCTTTACTCCACTGGCTTGATCCTCTCTCTCGCTCTCTCTCCCTTCTTCTTCCGGCATTCTGTGTCAGGTTACCGGTGGTTTCTTAACAACAACATGGTACAGTCGAAGAAGTTCCGAGGAGTCCGGCAGCGCCACTGGGGCTCCTGGGTCTCTGAGATAAGACATCCTCTCCTGTAAGTACTACACTGCTCTCTGCACATTGTACGCATGCCATTCTTTTCCTCTCCAGCTATGTGTGAATAGTAGCGTAAGTCTTGAAGCGTAATGAAGACAATGGAAACATCATTTTCCATCTTTCTTGCCGTGGTGTTGCGCGCAGGAAGCGAAGGGTGTGGCTTGGCACGTTCGAGACGGCAGAGGAGGCCGCCCGAGCCTACGACGAGGCCGCGGTGCTCATGAGCGGACGCAACGCGAAGACCAACTTCCCGGTGCCCCGCACCCCGGAGGGCGACGCCGCCGCCGACGCCTCCTCCAAGGCCCTGTCGGAGGTCCTCAGCGCCAAGCTCCGCAAGTGCTGCAAGACCACCCCCTCCTCCTCCCTCACCTGCCTCCGGCTCGACACCGAGAAGTCTCACATCGGGGTCTGGCAGAAGCGCCCCGGCACCCGCGACGGCTCCAGCTGGGTCATGACCGTGGAGCTCGGCAACGCGAGCCACGGCCGACAAGACGCCGGGGAGGCGATGATGGCGCCGACGTCGCCCCTCGCTGTGGAGGGGGCGTCGTCCCAGGCGGCGGTCGGAGGGATGGACGAGGAGGAGAGGCTGGCGTTGCAGATGATAGAAGAGCTCCTCGGCAGGAACCGCCCAACCTCTCCCTCCCATGCAGGGATAGAAGGTGAAGACAGCTTTTTCCTCTAGTGGCCATGGCAGCTGAAGCCGACTCAGTTTGGTTGGATGCTTTGTTTGTGAATACAACCAGATATGGATCAGTAGATCCACCTCGCCATTAGCCCCTTAATCAGTCTCCCTCAACACGTCAACCACTGCAAGCACCCATCGGACCTATATGTGTCTCTGTTTCCTCATCTGAAAGCATATAATTATGTCATGTTACATGAGAGTGTTGCAGATGAAACAAGAAAGCTATAGTCTACTCCAACTTACCGTTAATAGATATGATAAATCTCAGATGCTTGACCTCTTGTTCTGTGGTGGAATGAGATCCTTATCTGCAACATATACATATCCTTTTCCAACGGCTGCATCTATCTACAATAATGGCTGAACAGTGGAGAAGATCACGAAAAAAGAGAAAGAGATATTTAACCACGGCTTCCTTCATTCTTGTTTTGCTTTAGCTAAGAATAGAATCAAGAACTGGTAATCATGCATCACAGTCCCAAGAATGGAAGAGATACCCTTGCAAGTTTTGTGTACTTGTGTTGTGCGAAGAAGAGATCGGAAATAGCATAAGAATAAGGATAAAGTAATCTGATGTTGAAGCTTGGGCCTCTGCTGCATGCAAGCGTATCGAGTCCTTGTCACAAGGAAAAGCTTCTTGATCTCGCCAATGATGTGGAGAGAATTCAAAGTTAGATCATTCCAAATTACTAAACTCATACGAAAAGACTGAAAGAATCGGAGGAATGGGATTCAGATTAGTCGGAAGGATGGGTGATGAATGAGGCAGAAACTTACACATCAAATGTCACTTCCAAACCACATGCATGCTCGCTCAAACCTCTCTCCGATACTACTACTCGACTACTTAATGCATCGGAGAGAAGAAGAAGAAGAAAAAAAACCCAGGAGACGTGGGGTTGGAAATCTTTTACGTCGTCACGGTGCACCAGACTTGTGACAGTATACTTCTCGCCATTATACATGAGCAGCTGCAGTGTATTCTATCATCAAAATCGATCATGACAGCAGAAACAATCTTAGGAAATTATATGAACAACCAACACTCCAACGAGGACCACCATCAATGCACAATCAATGGCTAGCAAACACATTTGACGCCTTTTATCTCTCCGAATACATCGATCATAAGACGCCGAAAACTACAGGAACCTACAGCTGTTGCTTGTGATTTTTCTTTGGGCATGAACGAGCCAATGAAACCTTAAGTGAAGCACCATGAATTATCAACAGATCCCAACATGGGAAGGTAGCGCAAGGAAAGCACCGTAAAGGATCAGCCATTTGATTCACGCGAGGGTCAGAGAGAAGAAAGGTTGTGGTGCAAGGTCCCCAACTCCGGGTACATCAATAAAAGCTAGGGCAGATGAGTGACGACGAGAAGGACTCCACGGGCAGATGGGCTCAATGAATGCGCCACACTATTGAGGAATAAGGGAAAAGGAATAAAGTCAGATCGGATGCTTTGAGGCTTTTGTTGTGAGTGAATGGAGTTAATTGCAGCTGTTTAGCTGGAAGTTTAGGTTAAGAAGAGTAGGCATGAAGGAACTGAGGCCTCTCGTCCTCGCAATCAATGCTTCTACCGCATATTTTTTGTGCAATAATGGGTCTTTTGCATTTTGGTGAAAACAAGTACTTTTACGACCTATAATTCAACATGTGGAATGGAATGATGTACATTACAGGATTCAAAAGCAGCTCTTGTAGCTTTGGGTGTTGGCACTGTTGTTCTTGCAATGCTCTTGATGTCTCTCTGCACCAGCCTGGAAATTAGGTAAGCATTGGAAGATCACTGATATCTCTACTTGGTAAGAAAAGGGTGAGATAGTTGAAGAATGATTGACCAATAGAACATGCATGAAGAACACAACAGTACCAACAAAGAACTCACAGCTCTCAAGATGGAGAGATGGAGTTGTAGTAGAAACTTACCATGTTGTTTAAACACGAGGCAAAGTATTGTGTAGATCCTAATTGTAGCTTTCAAATCTAAAGCAAATATCTACTTGTGCTGTGAAGCTTTGACTCTCATGAGAAAGTGTTTTCATTGGAATTCTTGCCTTGTGACCATCTAAAGCAAAGAGAAGTGTTTTATTATTATTATTATGTTAGAAAGAACTAATAGCTGCAGTTAATACTAAATCTGCAACATTATTAGCCTTCTCTTTAAAAAGCTTCACCCAAATACTACTGTAAAAACCAGAAACAAACAGATATTTCATTAACAGAAAACAAAAAGGAATAAAGTTTGTGATCATATGTAAAGTATAACATATGGTAAATGCACTTAGTATATTTTAATCTTCTTTTATATTTATATTCTTTACATGTGAAGGCCCATCTATATGGCTCAACCATATAGGCCCTGTTTGATTTAGTTCACAAAGCTTCTAATCAGGCCCATGCCTCATGATTTTATTTACTGAAAAAGATATTAAATTATTTATATATAATTTCCTTTGCTAATATGAATACAATTGATTCCAATCGTGGCAGTTAAAGACTCGATCAATGATTGAGCTGCATGATTTATGCCCAATGTAAAATGTCAAAAAATATTCGATACGAGGAATTCAATAGCTAATCAGCATGTAGAGAATATATAATCGATATATCGAGGTTAGAATGGGCAGAAGTAGCCCAAGTCATCATTCGCCTATCTATCCGTATGGATAATAGTCAAAGGGAAATTGGTTCGAGCTTGTCTCTCTCGTATCGCTCATGTAGACAAAACATCAAAAGAAGATGTTTGAATAGTTACAAGTTGCCATCTTGGTGGATTAGATATAAAAGCTATGCCCTAGTGTCATACCAGGAGATGCTTCTTTCCAAAAAAATTCATACCTAAAAGGAATATTGAATTAACTTGAACGCCAATAGCATTGGATCGAGGAACTTCTCACAACATCAATCTTAATACTAACATTTTGGGAGTACGACACTCCATCTCAAAACCATTTTCGAGTCACTCCAAAGTCACATTAGAATTATCTCATATAGTTGATGAGAATTTCCTTAACACATTAGTACCACATGATTTTTCATTTCTTTTCAGATGATATAATAAAGTATTATTAAAATCTTCCACTTCATTTTATTATCGATTTGAGCATATGTCAAAAACCTATTAAACTTTGATTTTATATAGATTAATATTCAATCGAGCATTAGAGATTTTTGACTCCACCTAACCTCCTTGCACATCCAAGTTAGACTAATCATGATATCATGGACATTTCCCGTATCACCAAGCAAATCAAGTTTTATTTAACTAATTTATAATAGTAATAAAATATGATAGTATACACTAATATTTTGAATTCATATTACTCTCCTCGCTAAAGATGACGATTTCATATCAAAATATCGTAACGGAACATTATAACGGTTTCGGGCCAGCCTGCCACAGCCGTCGTGGCGTCCTCCCCAATCCCGATATATTATTGAAAGCAACACGAAAAGAAGGCATCGAAGTCGAGGGAATAAAACCCGAGATATGCTGTTCCTCCCTCGAATATTCCCTCTCTCCGTCCCCGGCATATTCCGATTCCCCCCTTCCCCTTCGCTCCTTCCATCGCTATAACATTCCTTCGCCCCTCCTCCTCTTCTTACATTACTGCCTGTTTGTTTCCTACATTGGATTTCGATCGCAGAAAAGTTTGGTACTTGGAGATGAAATTCGGGAAGAGTCTTGGTAACCAGATCGAGGACGCGCTGCCGGAGTGGCGGGACAAGTTCCTCTCATACAAGGACCTCAAGAAGCGCCTCAAGCTCATCTCCGGTGGCGGCGGAGAGAGGCTAGCCAAACGGCCCAAGGTGGCCGACGATGTGGGCCCTGGGGATCGCGATCCTTCCTCGGCTCCGGAAAGCGCGGCGATGCCGGTGGTCGAGGAGGAGGATGATTTCATGAGGCTCCTTGAGGCCGAGCTCGACAAGTTCAATACCTTCTTCGTCGAGAAGGAGGAAGAGTACATCATACGCCAGAAGGTCTCCTCTCTCTTCCCTTTCTACATGTTTTGCCTTTTCCCTAGTTGCCAGCATGGGAAACGCATCTTTTGTCACGATAGAGGTGCGAAAACTCGATCTCGTCTCAAAGTTGGTGTGGGTGATCAGATCGATGGTTCTATTTGCTTGTTCTCATAATTCCATCAAACAGAGCTCAAAGGGAATCTTTCTGTCGATCGATCAACCGATTCAAATAGAAAAAGAATTCCATGAATTCCTAGAAAAATTTGATGAACAAACAATTGTTGCAATGCAAGCTTTCTTCGAAGGAAAAGTAATTTTATTTATCGAATGAGAAAGCCTACTTAACTTGCTGTTTATCATAATAAATTAAGAGTATTTCATTAGAAGTCGCTGCTGGGAATTGCGGTGCAGTTTGTTAAATTCTATCTTCATCAATGTCGGTTTGCAGGACCTGCAGGATCGAGTTGTGGAAGCCATCTCGAAGGATTCCAAGGAGGAGTTGATGAAAGTGCGAAAGGAAATTGTAGACCTCCATGGAGAGATTGTCCTCCTTGAGAACTACAGTGCCCTCAACTATACTGGTACATTGCCCAAATCCCATCCATGTCAAAGTATTTGTCATTTAGCTTGCTATAATTTTACTCTCTTCAACACTAAAACAACTCTTTTTAGACTCAATTTGATAGTTTTTATTGGAAATCCTCGCAAAACCTTGGATCATTTTTTTTTGTTTTTATCCATTAAACTTTGGCACTGGACATGGATAGAACAACTTCCATCTCTGTTGTGTGGAAACAATCTGCTTAGTGCCACTTATTGTAATTAGTCCAGTATGAATTATATATATATTTTTTCACTTGCAAGTAAACAACCTATACTACATTTCAGATATACCAATAGGTGATAGTAAATTAATTGAATATTTATTTAAATAATTCGACTCATGTTACATTGTAACAGTGGCATTAATTTGTGTTGGATGGACGTCCATATTCTAGAATAAAACACTCAAGCCAACACCACATTGTTAACACAATAACCCAACACATTTAGTCATTGGATTACTCTTGTTAACCCAATGTGGCGAAATCCATTAAAGCTAAAGAAACGGTAAATATTGTTCCCATCAGGTGGGTGAGTCAAAATATGTCATATTTATTTCATGTTGAATCTTAAACTTTAGAATGACTATCTCTGGATTGCCAAACTCAGGAGAGCAACTTTACTTTCAGATATCCAACTAACCATTTCATGCTCTAAAACTGAATTTTGATAGATTCCTAACAGAAGATAGCTTTGGTTTTCCTTGTAATTTGCCATGGATGTTGTAGAAACTAGCTGGGTAACTTGTGCTGCAAAAAATTGCAGGAGTTTCCGAGTTAAGAATTATGCTGTACAAGTTTTTGCTTTGTTCAATTGGTTAAATGAAGTCAACTGCAGAGAGTTCCATGTGTAAAAGTTGTGTATCTCAGTATAGGCCATGGACTTTTATAGTTCAAATTTGTCTTGTAATATCTTTTGCTGAATTTTAACTGGTTATACCATACGAGGTGCAGAAATTAAATAGGTAAAAGTTGTGTATCCCAATATTTTACGCCCTTTGAAATGTAACACATCACCCCATTATTGTAACTTGCTGAAAGGTTTTTGTCTATATATTCCGGCAGAACTTGATATATGCTACATGTAAGCCTCTTTGAGAATGCGTAATAGCATTTTATAATTTAGATATTAGGTTCTTATATATGTATCCTCTGGAATTGCATGCAAAATTGAACACATAAGTAATATGCAAGAAATATCCTATTCGTAATGTATACATGGAAAAAGAAAACATTAATTCATGTTGAATTTTAAGTTGTCTCGACTTGGTATATGACTTGCATTTGCACTTGAGTTTGGATGCATGAATATTTGACATAAATTGATATGGTCTCATTATGTTTCCATAACATACTTTCCTAAACACAAGGATTGCACTTCCAATTTGGTCGTTTTGTATCTATATTCTTAGGCACTTTTTTTTTATATTTGTGAGGTTTTATCATTTTCACGTATCCCTGTGAAGCTACGTTATTATTTATTTACTCATGCTGAAAATTTTATATTTAATATCAAACACAAATATTTTCCAGAGTTATACTGCTCAATTGCTTGCTGTTTGCACCATAGATATATCAATGATGCAAAAACTTCTGAAGCACCACAGCAGGAATCTAGAGTTACAACATTCTGTAGGATCAGCTAAACTTCTGTAGAACCGCTATAGGTCATTGCCGGTGACCTGTCAAAAATAGGATGATAAATTTAAAGAAATAGTATGAAATATTACAAAGAATAAAAAAGTTATGTTAACAAACCCCAATTCTGCAAAAGGGCTAATTGTGTTTCTTTGTGTTATACATGCAGGGCTAGCGAAAATACTGAAGAAGTATGACAAGAGAACAGGAGCACTTATTCGTCAGCCATTTATCCAAAAGGTGCTGCAGCAGCCCTTCTTCACCACTGATGTGTTATACAAACTGGTGAAGGAGTGTGAGGCCATGCTAGACCGACTCTTCCCCAAGATCGAAACATCGACATCCGTGGAAGACTGTGACGGGCAGAACAGGGAGCAGAAGCCGGCAAAACCGAGATCCTCATTGGTTGGAGGAGTTCCAGAGTCGGAGGAGATTGAATACATGGAGAGCTCGTACATGAAGAGTACCATTGCGGCCTTGCGGGCCATGAAAGAGATCAGGGGTGGAAGTTCCACCGTGAGCTTTTTCTCATTGCCTCCCTTGAAGAGCAATGGATTGGAAGAAAGGTGGAACAATGTTCCTGTATTAGAACAAGCAGCCAAGTGATCATAAAAGAAAGTGAAATCTTTTAGTTTGCTTTGAGAAGGTTATCCATCTCCATTCTCAAGTCCTCCCTCCCCCTCCCCCTCCCCCTTTTTTTTGTATCCTATAAGCTTACCTACATTAGTTTTTAGAATCCTTACATGTAATAGCTGTATTACGTGTAAATTTGAACATGCAGAGGTTGAATCAGAGGAATTCAGCTTGACTGGTTACCATGATATAAGTTTATGATCTCTGCTCTGTATGTCTTTCCATAACCATGAAAAGCTGTTTCAACCTTTTTTTGAGCCATAAATCCATTCCTGACTCATTTGCTTAAAACCTTTCGAGTTGCCAGCATGAACAGGACCTACTGACAGAAGGGTATGGTCCATGAATAGTTTATTTATCTTTCTTAAAGTTCAATCATATTGAATCGAGCCATTATTATTATTAGTTGACAAATCTATACGATAGATCAGTGGATCCTGACATCAAGATCACTTTATAAATAGTATAACATTTTCTTGGAGACAATCTGACGTTGCAGAAGGATTAAAATAATGGAGCGACAGCTCACAAGGAATTCGAACAGCTTCTTAAACATTTTCTTAGAGACGATCTGAAGTTGCAGAAGGATTAAAATACTGGAGCGACATACAGCTCTAATATTCTAAGGGTTTTATTTGGTAGTTATCCAATAACTATTTATGTTTTTTCCAGACATGAAAAAAAAAAGCCATGTTGATCAAGTTTTTAGATTAATCAGGTGTTTTTTTTTTTGGGGGGGTTCGGTTCAGTGATACTTATGAATGAGGTGGATAATTATATGTCAAATCAATGTCATCATCGTATCACTTTTATCATCCTAAATATGGTCAACATAAATAATTCTTGAAAACAAAAAGGTGAAGTGAAGAAGGATTTCTCCTTTGGTTGGCATTCTGAAGGTAAAGGGGCCCACCGCTCGTTCGTCATTCATGCAATAAAAGGTCTGGTACCTGTGTGGGTACAGTTTAACCAGCAAGCGTAAGGGTGATGCTGGGATTCTCCAAATGGGCCCCACATATTAAACGTCAGGCGTATATTCAGGTAAAATAGTGGGTCAACATTTTCTCCTTGTTGATAAGGGGGACACGAGATTCCAGTCCCCGATGGTGTTAACCCGTCCCTTCCATCAAACCAAAACGTGGGGTCCCTATCATTCCCCTACTCAGCCGCTCACTCCGTTGTGATTGCAACGACATTAAAGTGGGCCCAATGTTGACTCGCCATTCCCAACCAGGTAGGAAATCCGGGTACGCCCAGAGCCTCCCGTGTTCTCCAACAGAAAAATAAAGTTACACGTGGTAAGCCACCCGCTTTCTGATTGACTGGACCGGTGGAGCCCACGCGTGCGAGTAAAGAAACTATTGGTCCCGTGATACGAGCGATCCCTCTCGACCAGTCTCGATTGCCACGTTCCAAATAAAGTATATATATATATATATATAAAGTAATTAATTAAGACAAGTGTGAAACACGAAGGCGGTGAGACGGAGAGTTGTGTCGCCCCGACTCGCTTGCTCATAAATTCTTCTTCCCACTCGCCTGTCTCCCTCCCTCCATCGCTTTCTTTGCCACTCGAGAAACCGTTCCGTCTTCGAGAAGCAGCGGTAGAAGAAGATGGCGTCGTCTGCGCTGCCCATCTCTCAATCACCGCGATCCTTCGTCTCAGCCCGTCATCGCGCTGCCTCTCGTCCTTCCCTTCCCGTCGTCTACGCCTCCTCCCTCGGCGGCCAACTTCACTGCCTCCGCCTCGGTACCCGGGGGAGTTCCCGCATTGGTCTGCCTCTGCGGCGTGTGGTCGTCTACGCCACCACCACCGATGTTCACAAGAAGCGGCAGGCGCCTGGGGCACGGGACCGAGGGTTCGTGGACGAAATGAGGGCCGTCGCGATGAGTCTGCACACTAGGGATCAGGCCAAGAAGGGGGAGAAGGAGGCCAACGCGCCGCCCGTCGCCAAGTGGGAACCCTCCGTCGAGCGCTATCTCCGGTTCTTGGTAGACAGCAAGCTCGTCTATGATACCCTCGAGACCATCGTGCAGGAGGCCGCCTACCCTTGCTGTAAGTCCCCTTCCGACATTCGATGAACCTGTCAGATAACATAGGTTGTCGTTCTTTTCTTGGTTTTTTGGAATGATCGAGTAGTTTATGATTAGTAATTCTTCTTGTAAGAGAAATGGGGAGAAGAATCTTTGAACATTGTTATTCACCCAAGTACGTGTTGGTTGTTCAATGCAGCTGCCCAATAGGGATTCACAGGCTTATTAAGTCCGTCGTTGTTGATCCGTGGTTCTGAATAAGAAAGGGAGACTCCACTTGAATATTAATTAAATAAACACTATGTGGAATTAATTCATCATAAAATAATTCAATATTGTATGGACTATTCTGTCAAAATGTTTGAACACTTTTGCGGACTTAAGTGGCTTCTTGTATGTTTGGACTTTGGGATGCGCCTAGGGAGACCTATGCATGATTTGGTCAGATGTGGAGATTCAATAAAGATTAATGATTTTTTTATGAGTAGATTTGGGAGGCTAATTACATATTACCCCTTGTAGTTAAACCTTTTTAACATCCCGCTCCCTAGACATAAAAAAATTATATTTGAATCCTATAATTATGAAAGTGAAACATCTAACTCTATTTATCTTAATGTCATTGGTTTTACCGACGGAAGCACAAAAATGATAGACAAAGAGGTAATTTCAATATCTTAGTTATGTTTTCGATGGTGATAGACGACGACACCATTGGCGGCCGCGCGTGGCTATTGTGGATGTGGAGAGCGACGGGTGGTGACGTCGCTCGACAACTATGTCGATGCAGATGCAGAGCGATGAAAGAGCGGCTCGGCAACTGCATTGGTGTCGACACAGATGCAGATGCAAAGCGTCGCTTGGCATATGCGTCGACACCGACGTAGTTGTCGAGTGACGCCGCTTTCCCTCCTCATCTAAGGATTGAAATATCGTACCGTACCAGAGTTTCGACGTTTGCTCGGTATGGTACGATATTGTATACTAAGCAGTATACCATTCGATATATCGTTCGGTATATATATATATATATATATATATATATATATATATATATATATATATAT